GAGAGAGAGAGAGAGAGAGAGAGAGAGAGAGAAAGAGAGAGAGAGAGAAAGATGTCATTCCAAATGTACTCCCCCCCCCCAAACTTTTTAAGTAGCTATTTCATAAAAAGCACATGACCGACAGGGTAGAAGCAGGCCGCTACCTTCATTAGTTTCTCAACTGTTTCGATGGAGGTGTAAAATACATACGTTATCAACTTATCAGAAACTGACCTTCCTAAATCGGACCCAGGACTCGTGGTTGTAAGAGAAGTGGCCATCCAGGACCGTGGGGATCTGGTCGGGGCTTACGTACTGTTGGAGGTGGTCGAACGACAGCACAAGCTTCAGCTGTAGCGGGAACAAGGGAGACAGTATGAGTGAGTGGTAAACGTTCGTCTGAGTAAGAGTAAAGAAAAACATTACCGACATAATAAAGGGCATTTAATGCATTGAAAAGGTCAGGGGAGGGAGGGAGAGAGAGAGAGAGAGAGAGAGAGAGAGAGAGAGAGAGTGTGTCTGAGTCTGAAAGAGAGAGTAGAGGGGTGTCCGTCAAATTTGGGGCACATATGGAGATATTCTAATGTTCATTTGCCTGGCTTTCGAGGGAGAAAATACCCATCTATCTTGAATAAAAGTAAAGATATTTGTGATTGTAGGAGATGGCGGTCGCCAGGTGCCTGTTGTAAAATTTTAGCGAAAATTGCCGCTTAAAAAGTAGTTAATGACTTCCAAAGATGTAATGTCTGATTTTGAAAATGAAAATTTATATTTTCTGTCAGTGTCAACATTTTTCAGTAAGATCAAATGAGAATGTGATCTTAAAAATATTCAGTCTCCAACTATCCACTTTAATCCATTCGGGCCCTTTTTACACCACAGACAAAAAAAATGTTTGTTGCGTTGTTCCTATCCAGGAATCGTAAAAAGCACTAACACTGTAAGCTTAGACCATCTCACTGAACTGCATTTCGGAAATTTTGAAAAGTACACCTTTGATAGAGCTTGTTGAGGGTGCACAAATAAAAATTTTAACAGTTTTTAAGCAAGTTCATCTCTTCCCTCTGCTTTTAAAAAGTAAAAAGTCATTTCAACCAAATTTTCACTTTCAAAATCAAAGTAAATGAATTGCACAAATTAATGCAGAGAAGCACTTGTAAGAAGATTGAACCAAAGCACATCGATATCCAAGTCTAAATTTATTTCAACAAGGCATTATATGACATAACTTGGTCCCCTTACATTACTTTACCTTTTAAGAAATTATTTTTTTTCTATGCTATCAACCAAGTCTGGGAGCTCTTGTGGTCTAGAGGTTACGGTGTTCACCTCTCATTCAATAGGTCCCACGTTTGAAACCTGACTGCGACGGAAAATTTTCTTACTAAAAAAATATTCTCCATTCAACTCCTCTCCTGCTCTCTAAACCTAACAATCATGTTCTGTCGTCTGCTTTCGTCTCCACTTTCTGCCCCCCACTCCCCACCCAGGCTCCTGACTCTTCTGCCTCTGCAGCCTTTCTGCTGCTCCTTAACTCTTTCTTACTGTCTGTCTTTCAGCCACACCCCTCTATCTTAGCGAAGGTCTAAAACCTAGCCTTCTTGGAAAAGGGCGAGAAATCTTGGAGGTCCCGCGCGCAAGTTAAAAATCCCTTGATGGTCCAAAATCGATAAAAGTAGGCCTTGGCCGCCATCCGCGCAGAATTCCTACTATCAAACCAAAAATGTATATAAATGAATGAATGTGTTCCGCATGCTCACATGACTTCCTGACCCCAACAGCTGTACTGCACCTTTCTCATGTGGAAATTTTAGGTTTGAAGCTCCCCGAGTAAAAAAGCCCAAACAATGTTTGAAAATTCAAACTGCAGGCCAAGGAAGGAGAGAGGCCTGGGCCTTAAAACGTCGGGGCAGAATTCTTTCTTAACACTTTAACTTGAATTCTTAACCATGACTGACAACAAAGTGGGAATCCCTCAATGACGTCAAACAAGTCAAGATGGCTGTTACTATAAATATCGGCCAATGACATACTCATGTTCTCTAATTATCCGCTTGTGCCATCTTCTATCACTTACACTTTTGTGTGGAGCTGTGGCATGGGGTTACATGCATGAGGGCGGAGGGGATTAAATCAAGAAGCGCCTCTGTCTATGACATCTAAATCTATGTCTGTTGAATACAGACTTAATGTCATGTAGGTAGACCCTCCACAGTTTTACTGTAATCCATAGACTCAAGACAGGCCAAAAATGGAAAAGAAAGATGGTAGCATCAGTTGCCACCGAGTGACGCGGTGGCAATTGACAAAAATTGACTTTTTGTCAATTGCCACCGAGTGAAGCTGTGTCAAGTCTGAAAACAACACTATCTTAAATAGACTATAACTATAATGTGTGTCTAATGGGTCAATTTGTTCTCAACTAATTTCATTGGACGAGCATCTAGTCAAGAGCTTCGGTACCCACTTGGCGTGTTTTCAACGAGACATAGGGTCATAGGGTCATAGGCCTAGATCTAGGCTAGCCTTAGCCTACACTTTGGCTTTGGTGTAGAACCAACACAGGCAATTCTAGAAGTAGAGGTCACAAACGCACACAAACTCAAGCAGAAATTCACGTTATATCGGGGAACATAAATCGGGGGACGGGGGTCAGGAAAAGACACACACACACACACACACAGAGGGACAGAGAGGTGAATGCACAACACCGAGCACTCGAGCACAATATAAGCTAGATATCTAGATTAGATCTACTCACCAACGCAAAAGAGCTCCAATTTACTTGGTGGCAATTGACAAAAAAGTTTTTTGTCAATTGACAGTACCAAGAAAGATTTTTCCTTTTTTAAAGTCTGACTGTTTGGTAGTCGGTAGTCCTGTCGAAAGTCTCTCTCCCACACTACACTAGATCTACAGACTACAGCAGACTAGATCTAGATTCTAGTCTAGATCTACTGTACACCATTACTATTGTCTGTGACCAGGTTGTAAATTAGGAGGTAGACGGTCATTTGGGCTTGGGTGGGTAGATCTACTCTGCAACAAGACTTAGATCTAGAGTCTAGAGTCTGCCGTAGATCTAGTTAGTCAAGATCGTGATCAAGATTCCAAATTGAGATTAAGATCATTGGTTGGATTCTCTGTTTTGTCACACTTTCACAGCCTCGACTTCTACTCTAGATCTCCAGCCCTACCCTAGCCTAGACCACTGTGCAGTTGTGTTGTCAGACTGGAAAAAATCGATTAGCAGCAGAATCATAACCAATAATTATCATACAAAAACATACATCACGATGAGAATTTCGACTCACCTTCAGGCCTGTGCCCATAACGATGACATCGTATGTTTCATCCATGGCGATATAATGTATCACTCCTGTCGACTGTCTATAATATTACTTGAGCTACACCCACTGATGATGCTAACACCGGGCACTAACAACTTCAGTGGCCACTTCCTTCCAGTGCGTAGTAATACACAATGATCGCATATCACCGCCCACAGAATGACTTATGTGAAAACGATATTGATATGTGAAAGACCCTTTGAACTATAAATGTTTCGATTCAGACTCATTTGCATTCAAAATTATTCAAATTATTTCACTTTTCACTTTTTTGTATGGCAAATAAGAGAAATTAAGAAGGGTCAGAATATTTGTAAAAACATTCTGACATGGCTTTGCTAATTAGTTTCTGCGGGGATTTACGTTGCTGTACTATCATTCTTTGATAGAAAATATAGTTCGAAAGATATAATGCCAGGGGATTAAAATATAGATCTATATTTTCATAATTACTATTAAGATATATTTTACAACTGTTTTCTAATGAGTACAAGTTTTTAGAACTATATTTAATTTGTTTTGATGATAAAAATAAATTATGTGTCAGTGGTAAGTTTAGTTCCGCAGGGTATGTTGTAGTCTGACGAATCCACAAATAGAACAAAAACATGAGCATTAGTTTTGAAATGCACCACCTTCTATTGTTTTTTGTTTATTATTTCCTATGGTTTTGTACTTGTATTGCATTAAAGATATTTTTTTGGCAAAACAGTGAAACTTTTTGGCAGCGGTCGAAGTAGTTCCTTCAGTGCGGTCCTGCTAACATGGCGACGTACTTTGTTGACATTTACAAAACTGGATAATAACAATTCCTTCGAAGGCGATGTTAATGGTGTTTACTCATTGTCGTTTACGAAATGGTTCGGTTTTGAAAGCTGGTCTTTCTTTTTTCTGTTTTAGATAAATATTTATTCTATCCCAATGTCTATAGAGCTCTCATTTGAGCTGTTTTGACCATGGCGGAGAGTAAAAAAGCTGCCGCTGCCTCCACTTCCTCTGCCTCTTCTGGTAATAACACTAGGGATAGCAGAGAACTCTGTCGAGACACTAGTCCCAATACCCATCCTAACGCAGAGCATGTAAGAAGGAGCTCGAGGAGTCCTGTTGCAATTGATGCGGCAGTATCGGATGGAGGTTCTGAGGGTAAGTATTTAGGCCTACTTGCAGGCCACCTCTTATTCTCACCGAAAGTGGCTATTCTCACCCGCCCGGAAGTTCTCGCAAGATCTACTCCTCCCCTCTTCTCTCTCTCTCTGTCTCTTTCTGAATACTGTCTATCGGTGTGGACGATCAAATTGACCAAAACAAAGTTAAAAAATGATGTTAAAACACAAAAGTAAATTAATTTGGTTGTCTACAAAGATGCTACGGCTATTTAACTTTTCGAATCGAGCCGAACTACGCGGGTCGCCATTTTGTTTTGTTCTCTCTCTCACTCTCTCTCTCTCCCCTGCCCACAGACAAAATTGTACGCTTTTAGTAGGCTACAAGTACAGTTGTAATGGAACGTTTGTTCACAGCACAGAATTCTACAATTTTTCTCTTCTTATCACAGTGTAGAATTCTGTGGTTTAGGAGTTTAGGGTGAACGCAAAATTTGTTGACAAGCGCACCGGGTGAGAATAGCCACAAGACCCGCCTGCACTATTCTCACCCCGGGTGAGAATAGAGGTGGCCATTCTCACCCCGACGAGAATAGCGCAGGCGAGCGTTTTGGCTATTCTCACCCGCTGTGCGTTCACCGTTAAAGCCTAGGCCCACCATTGTAGCGTTCACCCTGAACCACAGAATTCTACACTGTGATAGCAGAATTGTAAAATTCTGTGCCGTGAACAAACGTTCCAGTGCTCTTGTGTTACTACTGTTTAGCCTAAAAAAAGCGTTGCAATTTTGTCTGTTGGCAGTGGAGAGAGAGAGAGATAGAGAGAAAGAAAGAGAGAGGAGTAGCGCGAGAACTTCTGGGCAAAACAAAATGGCGACCCGCATAGTTCAGCTCGATTCGATAGCCGTAGCATCTTTGTAGACGATAGTAGTTAAATTAATTTACTTTGTGTTTTAACATCATTTTTTTACTTTGTTTTGGTCAATTTGATCGTCCACACCGATAGACAGTATTCAGACAGAGAGAGAGGAGAGGAGTAGATCTTGCGAGAACTTCTGGGCAAAACAAAATGGCGACCCCCGTAGTTTGGCTCGATTCGAAAAGTTAAATAGCCATAGCATTTTTGTAAGCGACCTAAAGTTTACTTTTGTGCTGTAACGTCATTTTTTTCTTTGAAATTTTCAATTTGATCATCCACACCGATAGACAGTACTTATTCCAAAATTAGGAAAAACAGGTCTTGTTTCACAGCGGGTGAGAATAGCCAACGCTGGCAAGTCTCACCCGGGGTGAGAGGTCGATTCGATCACATTTTTATTCTCACCCCGGGTGAGGATAGATAGTCACTTCCTTACTTGCATCATATTTTGGACAATATCCAATACACATACTTCTTTTAATTTGGCCAAGGCTACCCTCTGCTTGTTTTATTCAAATGTTTTGAACTTGTTGACTTGTATTCAAAGTTACTCCCTTAAATTTTATTTTTGCTGTTATTGACTGGATTTGGATAATATTAGAAAAGTTAGGGTTTGGGTAACCTTGGCCTATCCATCCCCTAACCCTAACCGCAATGCCAAAGATGTGAATGAAGAAATATATACTGATCTGGCAGATTGTCTCTATATAAATATAATTTTTTCTAAAACTTAGTGTTGTTTTATAACTTTCTTTTTTGCAGTACTGAGCTAGTAAATGCTCAAAAGAGTAAACAGTCATCGTGGTTTGTATCGTGGCTAAATAGTGCCATAGTTTTCCATAAATTGATAAAATTTAAATATGATTCTTGCATCCTATTGTACAACATTGAATGATTGTTGCTTTTTTTAGTTTTCATATCTTTTATTTTAAAATACTGGGGGGACAATCACTTGGAATTTTTATCCCTTTTGACCTTTTTCACGGGCTATCATATTAAGTAGACATGATTCTCCTGTTTCTCAAATTTCTGTCATTGAAGTTTTAAAGTCACACAACTTATTCTTGGAAAAGATCAATAAAGGTTTTTTTTTTTTTTCTTTTATCCTTTTTTTTTTTCGTTATTTCATAGCGGTCCATGGGTTTGATCGATATGGTAATTATATATATATATATAATGTCATGTATGTCTACTTTTTATTTTCAGATAAGTATACTTCAGAAATACTGAGCCATGTTTTTGAAAATCCTCGCTCCTCATCTCCAGTGGAAGGAGCTACTGGTGCTGCACCATCAAGGTAGGTTTCTTTCTCTCACTGTCAATATTTCTAGTCAGGAAATAACCATTGTCTTTGTTTGATGTGTACTCAGATTGGTTTTAAACTCCCTTTTCCAGAACCCAGGTTGAAAATACAGGTTGAAGCTGCTCTTGTAGTGACCACCTGTCCAAAAAATCACCTGTTCGAACAACTACTTCCCCCTTCCCTCTACTAGTGTTTTTTCTGCATTAAAATGAAACTGTCCAAGACGTTCCACTTTTCTCCTAGACAGGGTGGCCGTCTGGGCAATTTCAACTGGATTATTGATAACATTCCTTTTCCCAGATTAAAAATTTAATTCACTTGCCTCATATGGGGTGCCCCATTACGGCGTGTCGAGCCAGTCGCCAGACCCTCTGGTCCCATCCGTAATGGGCACCCCGTATTAGCCATACCAATACAGATCTACAGATGAAAGCGCAAATTAACAGAATAACGTTGAGCTCACAATCTGCCAGCAGGCACTGTGTGACGCACTAAAGTGTATGTCTTTAATTAAACTGCAGTATCGTTAACCACAGATGGGAATGCAACATGTTACAAACTCCACATGCAAAGAAGATTTTGGATAAAAGGAAACACTAGCATACAGAATGAATTTTTTTAAGTGAATAGACAAAAAATACAAGTGAGGAGAGCAAAGAAAGAATTACTGTAAGACAGGGATCCCAAGGCAGCTGCTCAGGAAGAATATAATATTGAGTCGAAACTGTCTAAGACAGCCATTCATTGTTGAGGAAAGAAGTGGCTGTATTAGACAGATGGCCGTTTTACACAGTATCATAATAATGTAATGCACTATGTCTCATTATAACTCCAAAAGCTTGCCTCTAACTTCTAAATGGCAGAAACAAAGGCTTAGTCATTACTAATAAACTTTGTTCGGGAATATTTCCGAAAAACAAGCAAAAACTAACACTAAATGAAACGAAACAGTTGTCAATGGTATTGGACGCTGATGGAAACAGCGTTATTACCGCCTAACGCTACCAGCATCCGATGGGGTTTAAAGAGTGAAGCAAACGGGCAGAGAAATCAAGACATTGAAAGAAGACAAGAAATGCAAATTTACAGAAGGTCTAGCTGAATGGCAGAGGAAGGAAGAAATGTTACGCAACGACGTGAAACACTGATCTAGCCTTTAGTATGCAGGTATGTGATGCAGTTGCTTAGAGTTTTTAATGAAGCCAATTGTTTTTTATCCTTAAAAGTTTTTCAGTGTTTCTTTAAAAATGTTAGTGCAGTTTGGCCCATCACATCACTTTCCACAAAGTTACTAACTGTTTTTACTTCCTTTTTTACTTTTGCAGGAAAAGTCTAAGGTTGCAGACCTTGGAAGCTCATATATCCAGCTGTCTGAAAGAGGTTTCTGATAAAGAAATGAAGTCCAACATGACAGCGCCGAGTCCAGAAATTGGGCGCCTTGGTCCCCCCGAATGTTGTTTTGACATTATCACCAATGTAGGCACCATCATTGTTGACCCAGATCGTTTAGGGGTGAGTAATAAATTTTTAAAATGATAAATATCATTTGTATAAACGTGGGCTGTATTGCATAAAGACGTATCTCAAAGGTTGCCAAAAATGAAATGTATGTATGAAATATCACCAAAGTAAACAACTTGTGTTTCGCGCGCTCATATGACCTTAGCGGTTGCGAGCGCCGTAAAACCCTATACTACTACTACTAAAATATCACCCACTTATAGCGCATATCGTCGGCCTTGGGATAAAACCGGCTAACCCCAGCGAGGTACATTTTACAGGAGAAGGAAAAAACTGTTTTATTTCAAAACAAAGGTGTTAAACGATAAACCAGTGCTTCAAACACCTATAAAAACACTTTGCCGAAAAACTGTAGACCTTTTTTTCCTTAAAAAATCGCTTTTAATGAAACTGCGTGGGTTAGACGGTTATGTCGCTCAAATTTTCCCCGATAAAACCGACCATCCCTCAATTTTGTGGGTTGGCCGGGTTTATCAGGAAGCCACTGCTGGCCTCGAGTTTGGTTGAGTGCAGCCAAGCCACACTTGACTGTGACGTATTTGATCGGTTCTTTCAATCGTCGTGATCTTTTGTAGAAGAAGAAGAAGGAGGAGGAGGAGGAGGAAGAAGAGGGTGAGGAGGAGGAGGATAAGGTGAAAAAAAGGGGAGGAGGAGTAAGAAGGAAGAGGAGGAGGACGATATTACTGCTACCAACATACTATCAGCTGCTGCCATTTCAGTGCTACAGAGTCAGTTCTGGCAAAAACAGCAGTCACAAAGTGGAACATTTAATAGAAGTAGAAGAAGCAGAACACAGCAATGGGTATTTTAATTATATTTGAAGTAGAAGAACAGGAGGTTCGAATGGTAAGGGAGAGCAGCTACAGCAACAACAACAAAAACAACAACCACAACAACAAAAACAACAGTAGTAGCAGTAGCATCAGCAGGCCTTTAGAATTTATGACTGTGTCTGACACGGTACTATTGGCACTGGGTGGCCTTTCAAATGCTTGGAAAAAGTAATACTAAGAAAGAAATGAAAGCAGAAAGCCACACAGAAGCTCTGCTACCTCAGCGATGGTTATACAAAAAGACTTTGTAAGTATCAAAGAATGCGCCAACTTTCTTCAAGGTGTGTGGCTTGACAACTACTACATTATTGAGTTTTCTCAACAGTAGAAGAGCATGTCTGTCTCACTCTGTGTCCTGTGGCTATAACAAGGCAATACGACAAAAGTTACCATTGTTTTGAAAGACTCAACAATAATCGAATTTGACTTGATCGCTTTCAAAACTTCTTACTGAGGCAAAGTTTCATGGTAATTGTGGTAGCATACTGGTTGGCAGTTATGTTCAATCTGTCTTTACAGAGAGGTCCAGCAGTAACCGTAATACATTGCGTGTTCAGCTTTCTTGGTCCTTGCAGTGCCTGCCATCCTTCACCAAAGTTCAGCTTGTACTGAATGTAAAGTATGGAGTGTACTTTGATGCCTGCAAGTCAGTGACAGTAGGATCACCTGCTTTTCTCCCTGGATGGATTGTTTGAAAAAGCTGTGGCCAAGGTACATAACTTCATAGGGCCTTGGGATGCGTCTGGCTTGGAGCATGATGTTCACGTAGTCCATTGGGATGTACATCAGTGCGTTTTAGAGCCATCGCTCAATAGTGCCATGGACTGAATCCCCCTCCATTTGGGTATTGCCCTTGGTGAGAATTTCTGCTCAACTGTGATGTTAAGCTCTTTGGCCAGCGAGGCCATTGCACTCACCAGGGTGGCAGTTCTGTTTTAGTAGTTGCACCAATCACTGCAGATGATGAAATGGTTGAAGCCAGTCGCTTGCAATATCAGTTAGTGCGTCAGACGTGATGAAAACTGTTGAAGCTCAGACCAACTTCACTTTCATCCGGGACATATCATCTGGCGTCTCTGGTGGCAAAATCCTAAATTGTAAAATTGTGTATTGCCAGTTTTGTCTTATAATATAAGCTAGGTGTCTTTAGTGATGAGGCCAGAAGGACGCACTGGATCCCCATACAAAGGACACACACTTTGTTCTCTGGGTCCAGTGCCACCTCCCTGTCCTTCTCCTTCTCTGGTCTAGCCGCCGCTTTCCTCATATTCATATTTGATGAGCTGTGTATTCTGTTTCTGTAAGGTTTCCAGATTCGAAGCTGGTGCCTCTTGTTGTTGTTTTTCGGAGAAGACACTTTAAATAAACCAGTTGGTCAGGCCTGTGGTGTTCATGAAGATTGTTTACAAACAGGTGTTCTTTGACCATTGACTCTTTTAAGTGACATTGAAGGGTGTAATTTCTCTTTGGGTTTTCACTTGCTGTGTAAGATCTCTTTTTGTCTATCCTGTGTATCATGGCATATACATAGTCTCTCTTTTCTTTCCAAGAGAGTGACCAGTGATGTCATTGCATTTTGTACCAACCTGTTTACAACAGCTAAGGACGTCAAGTTCACACCCTGCTCGCTTCGTGACATGTGTAGAGGCATCCCCAGTTCTTTCAACCTCTTCCTTTTGTTACCCTTCCTATCGTTTTCATGCCGTGTCCTTTTCACAGAGATCAAAGGCGACATAACTGTTGTATTATCAGCTGATGTGACATTAGCCTGGTCATGTTGAGCACTTTCCATTGCGCTGAGGGTCAGAGGTGACGTAGCAAACGTGGCATCATCTTATTGAATGTTATAGCGTTATGTAAGTTATGGTTTGATATAGAGATAAAGCATTATGTTATGACACTGAGAAAATAATCTATACAAAACGCAAACGAAATGAACTTTCAAAGAAAATTGAAAGATGTTTCAGAAGGTAATGACTGCAATAAACACTGCAAATGAAAAAAAAAAATTTTTTTAATTTAAAAAAAAAAGATTGTTGGGGGCAGACGGTGTGCTGGACAGGTCCCACATTTTTGTTCTGAGTGAGTTAGTAAAGAATGAAAAGCTATCGAATTCGTCCATTCAATTGCAATGGAAAAAATGATTAGGAGAAGAGACAGAAGTTCGAATAAGGTAAAATGCCTTCATAATTCAGTAACTTTCAAGTACAAAGACAAAGAAGAACACGTGGACAGAAAAAATAGTTTCTTATATAACACAATCCATAAAGATGCATTTGAAATACCGGCATTGTCACGAGATAAAAACAGTTTTGTGGGTACAGTGGGGAGTTTAAGTCATTAATGACATTATCTGCAGCATTAAAAAGAAAAAAAAGAGGGAACAACCAGGTCTATATAACTACCAAATGAAACCAACAAGAAATATTACACAAATTTCCCTTTTGAAGAGCTCACATGGTTACGTTAGCGAATTCTGGACTATCAAACGAAGTCCTGAGACGAGTGGAAGCCGGGGTTAGTCGGTAACATAGCACGTGGTCCGTCATTGTTTGCGCGACAAAAACAGCCAACCCTCATTCCCTCCCTCGCAGGTTGGATAGTCGGAATTATCGGGCTAAAATCCGACAGATGCCGGGTTATACGGTTTTATTTCTAATGTTTTAAAGACATTTCTAGACAAAATTTAGATCCGACTATGAGTGAGCATATGAAATGGACAATTTGCTATCGATAGGGCCAATAAAAATTTTTTTGACATTTTGTGGGTTAGTCGGTTTTATCACCAGGCCGACGATAGTATATCCCATCTCAACAGCAAGCTCTATGCTTTTAACTTGAGTCTACATTATTGCTCCTGTAGATCCCTGAACACTCAGAAACTCTCTTGGCTTCAAGTTCATGGGAGGCATATCACTAGTGCGCAATGTTAACCTTGCAGGCGCCGAATTTCGTGGAAAAAATTTTTTTTTGCTGAAATGAAATGTTATACCGGATTACACGTGCCAGTAAAACATTGAGTGTCAAAAATAAAGTTTTACTGTTAAAAAACGTTTGTGTACTAAACGCACGTCCCTACTGCTGGTCCATCTTGGGCTGTGCGAAGCGTGTGCTTTTCGCGTTACTGTTCACAGCGGTGTGATCTTGGGACGCTAAGCGTGTAAGTGATAGGGAGGTATAGTACGTACTATAGTTGGCTATGGTGTTTGTGCACGCACTTTTCAGACCAGAGGCAGACCGGATGCCGTTCTAGATTGAAGTTTTTAGAATGGAGCTAGAAAAGGGACATTATATATTATGAAATGTGAAATAAGGTATTTATAGGTCAAAACTTCTTCTTTCAATTAGTACTATAATGAAAGGAGGATGTCTAAGTGTATCACTATGACTCTTTAACTTTGTGGGTCCCATAACTTCACTCACCGTGAGGAATCTCCTTGTTTGAATCTGATTATTAATCAGGTTCCAAATTCAATTTGAGTATAAATGTATACATTTCATTCAAATTCTCACTGGCAGATCATTTTTCATACCGGTACTACAATTTGACATACTAAGTTTTAGTAGACAGTTTCTGTACTGTACTTTAAATATTTTCATAATTAAGATTTGTAATAGACTACCTATAGATACTTGTACTTATAGTTGCATATAGTAATAAGAATCATATTAATGAGACCCACATCGCATCTTTTTTGAAGAAGGTGAGCAGTGAACAGGACTGATTCAAACTTTTTAATTTTTTGTCTTTCTATCTTGTGTCTTTTGTTTGGTTAGTAGTTAAGTAGAAAATGGAAACCCTCTTTTCATTTTTTTAGTAAGTGTTTGTGTGTGTGTGTGTGTGTGAGAGAGAGAGAGAGAGACTGTTTTTGTCACTTACCCCATTGCTTGTGTACTTGTTTCAACTTGCCTTGACTTAACTGTTTTAGTTGAGGTACATTTTAGTTACATACAGCCCTCATCTTTAATTTGTATCTTTTGTCTTCAGCGTATTTTGGGGGTAAGTTAATAAATGACAACATGTGTGCTGCTTTCATTTTTAAAGTAAAATAATCCAGGTCTTTGCCTTTTTTTTTTCAAACAAGTCAGCCGTTGTTGTTGTTGTTGTTGTTGTTGTTGTTGTTGTTGTTGTTGTTTATGTTCTGTTATTTGGAAGTGGATAGGTAGTCTTTATTTTGTTTAATGTAGTCCTCCAGTACTTTCAATTTTCAGTTCGAAGGCTGTCTTCTGGGGTCGGGAGGTGGGATTCTCATCTCTCCTCATTCCAAAGTTGCTGGTTCGAATCCCCCACCCCACCCCTGGTGCAGGCATGTCTCATATTTCCAAAACCCCTGGTCTCTAGGAAAGTGGGGTTGAGCACCTCGCCTTCTCGTGTAAGAATGAAAAACTTCGAAGGCCAGTATGCACCTTGTTCATGTTGAAGATACCATGGCAATTGCAAATCGAGGCAAAATAGGCCTACTCTAACCCTGGCAAAATTCAGATTAATCCCATTTCGTTTTTTGTGAATCGAGCTGACAGTGCTGCTCTCGTGGCGACCTTCTTCTTCTGGATTGCATCACATTTGGCATCTGGTATCTATCATATATTGGGCCGTCCTGCTCTGTTCATCTGTCGGCCCATATAGCTTCTCTTGTAGTGTCAGTGGGGTTGGCCGGCCAGGTTTCCTGTCTCAGGGCCCTGTGTGTCTTGCAGTGCTGAAGGATGTGTTCAACTGTTTGGTCCACCTCTCCACACTGACATTTTGGTGATTGTACTAGTTTAAAACATCTGTACATATGTTGTCTCAGTCTTGTGTGTTGTGTTGTTAGTCGGAAGATAATCACTTGTTCTTGGCGGGACAGCTTATGGTAGCTATCTGGTGTCTGTGGTGCTTTAAATTGTGTATTTATAACAGTTTTTGTTTCTGTATGATTGACGCTGTTGTCTGGTTGCTCTTTCTGTGCTCCTAGTTTGACCATTCTGTCTGCCTGTTCATTTCTTAAGATACCACAGTATGATGGAATCCACTGCAGCATGATCCTCAGGCATGGGATGTCCTCAATTACTTCTCGCAGCCTTGGTAGTTTGCCGGCAGTGATTGCCTGCAGTACTGACATGGCGTCAGTTAGGAATACTACTTGGCTTTGGGGGTCTACCACATCCCTGATGATGTTTGCTGCATGTGTTTTAGAGCCTCCGTCTCTGCCCTGTAGTTTGTACAATGTCGCCCTGTTGGGACTGCCTCTTCTTGGCGTCGTCCGTTTGGGAACTGTACGTGGCAGATCCGGCCGTAACGTTGAGACTCAGTGGCATCTCACGACGTATAAGCATCGATATACTATCAGCAATTTTAGCAATTTTAAGTAGGAAGTCTTTTTTAAATTGTTGAGGCCTGTAATCTCTATAATATGGGGGTAAAAAAGCACCATTGAAGCACTCAATACAAATCGTATCCAATCCAATCAGAGCCCTTCGGTTAATACAATTAAAACCACAACAAAAACAAAAAACAAAGCTAGCAGAAACTTAAATGTTTCTATTTCTTCCCTGTGTATCATTACCAGGGTATGTTCTTTGTTGATAGAATGATATGGTATTTAATGAAATGACGAACCTTTTCCATTCATTGTTACGAGCTTGCCTCAAAGTCAAAGTGAGAGAAATCCTCAGTGGGTACCGTTGTACTGAGGTAAGCCTCCTGGTGACAGGCTCTGTTTCTGAAATGACCGATGGTACAGTAGGCCTAGCTTGTATTTAATGAGGTGTTTAACGGAAAACCCAAATTCAGTCTTTGGAGTCTGAGATTAAGACAAAGTAGAGGGAGGTAAACGAAAATACTTTTTTTTTTTTCCGGCACTGACATTATTTTTTCATAAATTACTATTTCCTTTTTTAAAAGTGTTTTACGCCGCTCGCAAACGCATACGGTCATATGAGCGCTGGACACATTACACATTTTCAGTTTGTAGGAAATTTCGAATTTTGCCCTGGTGGCAGCTGAAGCCTTGATTTACTCTGATCAATTCTGGACCATCAAGGGATCTTTAACATTCACACTGGATCTCTGAGATTTTTTGCCCTTGTCCAAGAAGGCTAGGTGTAGATCTTTCCTACCAGAAGATCAGGGGTGTGGCTGAAAGACAGCTGTAAGAAGCAGCCAAGGAGTAGCAGTAGAAAGGCTGCAGAAAGAGTCGGGAGCCCAGAGGAGGGGGCAAAGGAGGTGAAGGGGTGTAATGTATAATTTTTTTAAAAATATCTAATCTAGCAGCATGCCATTTGCACATTTCAGTTGCATGACAGCCCCGAACTTTCAGCTTTCCGTTTTCGGATTGAGAAAAGGCCTGATCTTTATCTCTGGTGCCCACCTCATCCTTCTTGATGAAAGACAAAACTCCGGGGGTAGTATTGCCCCAACCTTATTAAAAAGATTTTTTTTAAAAACAACCCACGAATAATAGGTAACAACAAAGGACAACAAAAAAAGACCAGGAGGGTGAAGTGAGAAGGAAAAAAATGAGCAGGATTGAGATTTTAATGTATGGCATCACCACCGAAAAAGTACTACAACTACCAGTACTATAACTACTGCTCAAGAAGGTCATGTTGTGTAGGGCTACCAAAGATTCTTTACTACCATTGCCATTACGCGTACTGTGTGTAAAATACACTGAAAAACAAAGTCACTAAACCTATACGATTGAGTCACAAATGCTCAACTGTGGGAGGGAACAAGCCAAAGGCCAGGAAAGGAAGACATACAGGTGAAGAAATGGGAATGGATTGGGCGCACCCTGAGGAGACCCCCGAAAAGCATCATCAGACAGGCTTTGGCGTGGAATCCACAAGGAAAATGTAAGAAAGGAAGACCAAAGATGACATGGAGGGGAGCAGTACAAGCAGAAATGGAAAAGGCGGGGACATCATGGAAACAGCTAGAAAAGGATGCTCGGGGCAGGCTTCAGCTGGAGAAATGTTGTTGATGGCCTATGCTCCACTGGGAGTTAAAAAGGGCAAGAGAGAGAGAGAAACCTATACGACCTCTGCCACTAATAATACTAAACGTGGAAGTTTCGATATCGCTTGCTCCCCGGCTTATTGTGACACCAAAGCATGCAGGAGTAGACGGTGCCTAGCACTTCCTGTAGTTCGCACGCACTGAATTGGGCTGTATTGAGTAATGTTATCCGTGCAGGGATCACAGGCTGGGCTAAGCGTGTAGACATGTAGCGTAAGTGCAGGATAAGGGAATGATATCCGTGAAAGGTCTGAAAAGACACCTATTTTCTTGATGCAGAAGAAACAAATACTCATAACATGTGTATTATCTATTAATAATATACTCCCTGTATGTTGAAACCGTTACCCTGCTAAAAATGCATTTTGAAATAAACTTGTTTTTTTCTCTCCTGAAAAAATTGCTTAAAATGCCGTGCACGGTAAGCATGGCGCACCGTCGATATAGTGGACAGCAGAGTACTCAAACACTAACAAACTGACGAGACTTTTTGCTGTCTGTGTCCTGGTACCCATGTCCACCTGGGAGAAGTCAGGAAAATTTGTGTAAATGAGGGGTTGGAACTCGCACCCTTTTGGTTTTGAGCCCAACAGTCTTTAATTCTATTTCAAATTTCAGAATACTTGTAGTTTGAAGATCTCTTTGAAACTTTCAGTATTTCTCAAAAAATCATTTTGACAGACTGCTATGCAAAGAGTACAGATCGGATTAACAAGTAAATTTCCTCTGTGGAAAGTGGTGGCACAGAGTTCCCTGCGTCATTTGGATACGATAGTAAAACATGACGTACGGATAAGGTCAAGTTTAACTAGACCACAGACGCCACCTAAAGCTCACATTGCTGTGTTGGACCTGTTTCAGTGATATGCACTATTGTATTGTGGATGGCATACATTCATTTGCTGGGGGGGGGGGGGGGGGGGGGATTCAAACTGGTTACAGATTCTTGAAATTTTGACTGCAGGGTGTTTATTTCGTGTCTTGCCTTTGTTTTAAAAAAAAGATAATTTCTGTATCTTTTTGTATGTTTCGTTTTTTTTCCCCCCTTTAAAAAAAAAATAGTTTCTGTATCTTTGTCAATGATCCTTTTCTGTCTGTATGAGTTCCTTCCTCAGGTCTATATTGTTGGATGGGATCTTTTCACTGTGTACATTTGGATTGAAGTAAATCTTTCTCCATATGTTGGCTTGTTGGGGGGATTAATTAAGCATGCCACATGTCACTGTGTTTGCATTTCTTCATTTATAAATTTACTTCATGAATTAAGCACCCCTTCAACAAGTCTTTCTGGTTATTGTATCAGCTTGCTTTTGTTTATAATCTACTGCTTAACTTTGTTGGTTCCTTTCAGATTTCTAGTCATTCAAACTTTAGCAGTATCAAGGCCAGCTGTTGTGTGTACGAGGGCAAGTGGGTGTACGAGCTCATGCTGGGCTCCAAGGGTGTCATGCAGCTGGGCTGGTGTACTTCCAACTGTCGCTTCTCCCAGGAGGTTGGTACACTCTCCTTTTTCTTTTAACTCACCCAGCCCTAACGCTGATAATATCGGTATTACGCGCAACACTCCAACCCTAAGACTGTCAGTATCGGTATGGAAAATATCGCTCTATGTGACCGCAAAAACTACTTTTTGTGTGAAGCAGACTATAGCCCAATTGGAAGAGTAACCATTTTTCGTTTGAAACAGACTATGACCAGAACAGAAGTTCCAGCCCAAATTTAGAACAAAGAAAGCTATATTCGTGAACCATGTGAGGGAGGGAAAATTTTGAACGCACTTCCTTTTTCTTTGCTTTTTGGTTACTTTTTGACTCTGTATATAAACCTTTTTCCTGGGAGTATTGCATAAAAACTGCATCATATTTTGCCTTGAAATTTGCAATACACACAAATAAAGGTTTGAATAAAGTGTATGAAACTTGATTGGGATATGTTAAAATTTAGTATTTTTTTCGTTTTTCCGAAAGTGGTAAAAATCTCTAGGGAGCTCTGACATCCGGGAAGTGTAGGCCTAGGGTTTAGGGAGTTAACGCTTACGGCACTGGGCTATTTTTAGCGCTCACTTCCCTCTGACCCAGATAGTACTGGAGTCCTAGACTCTACGGGCTCAGCCGGTGTTTACCTCAGTGCCTTCTTGTTGTTTCTCCATTTTTTATAAACAGTGAAATATGTGATAAAACTCTTGTGATGAACAGGCCTCGAAACAAACATGAACAACTTTTGTCTATCTTGCTGACTTAAAGTGGTCTGTAATATATTTAATTTTTTTTTTTCTGTAATTTTATGGTCTTTTTTTTTCGACTTCCAGGAGGGGGTTGGCGATACCAGGGACTCGTATGCTTATGATGGGAGCCGACTCCGCAAGTGGAACGTTAGAACCAAGAGATACGGAGAGGTAAGAGTGGTCTAACTTATGCTCTTTTCCCATATGAAACTGCCTCTGGGTGGCTTTACTTTAAAGACCTTTTTTTTTTTCTCTTGATCGAGATTTCCCATATGGAGTACTACGAAATTTCTCTTGTTTGTTTTTTGTTTATTACTAGTGATGTGATTCCATTACAGACTGCAATTTTTTATGATAATGATAATAATAGAAGCATTTGTATAGCACAAATCCCCACTCAACAACAAGCTCTATGCGCTTCACAATCTATACTATTACCCGAGCAGACCTGAGAGCATTCTGAAACAACCTCAACTTCCAGGGAAGCATACAGTGCAAGCAGTCATTTAGATGCGCTAAAACACTAACATACTGACAAAATCTTTCACCTGGGTGAAGTGAGGAAAATTCGTGTAAAGTTTCCCAAGGACACAACGTTGGGCCCGCGGCTCGAACCCCTGAACCAGCAACCTCAGGATTACGAATCTACTAGGCCACCGACGCCACTGTTTTTCATCAGTTTAGATCTGAAATGGCTGGGGAAAAGTTTTGTAAGTGCTTCTGTTGAATAAGTGGCTAATCAGCACAAGCTGTGTGCAACAGTCCGTAGTTGGGAATTGTTTATAGCTCTATGTATTCGATTTTGACCGCTGTATCTTTTTCTGCAGTCTTTGTGGATTCTTTTGAGTCACAAAATTCTTTGAAAACTGCAAATTGTCTTGTGCTTGGCGAGCAAGAACATTTTGTCGCCTTTTTTTTTCCAAAGAGTTAAAAAAATGTTCTGAGTTCAGTTGGAAGCTGGAAGCAGGTACATAGACAGCCTCCCATTTGCGACCTCGGTGCTTTCTTGTCGTATATCCATTTTTAATAACAGTGAAGACAGTTCATAACAAAGAGTGAGCTTAAGAAGAAGTCACATATTCACTGTTTAAAAAAATGGAGATAGGACAAGAAGGCACTGAGGTCATGCATTGTTGAGGTTACAGTGAAAGAATATGGTATCGATAGAAAGTTTACCAAATTGACCTTCATGTTGATTTTTGGCCTATATCTTTGTTTGCGGATTGCAAGAAGTAACTCATTTTGTCAGCACGCCTCACATATTCATCGTCAAAACCTGAGATTGCCGCAGCAGTGTACACGTATTTACTGACCTCTGTCTGTTTTGTCTCCCCAGCCGTGGATGTCGGGAGACGTGATTTCTTGTGCCATTGACTGTGATGAAGGGACCATTACTTTTTACAGGTATACTTCCTCGGCGTCTTTCTAACTATAAATGCCTACATAATTTTTTCTTAACTTTTGAGAAAATTAGAGAAAAAAATAGATCATCTGAGTCAGGACTATAACATCGGCATTGTTAATAGGTCGCTTTTAAGCTCAAGGGGGCTATCCCAAACAATGCTGTTTTGAGAAAATCGAAGGTAAAGTTTTTGCCCCTTGTCCAGTTTCTTTAAAAGACAAGGAGAGTTTTCTCTGTAACTAAACAAATATACACACCAATGAAACCAAACTTCTCCTATTGGTAAGGCAATGCCCACTTTTGGTGTAGGTCAAGATTTCTGGAAACCCCCTGAAACCTGGGTTAGTCAGTCAGCAAACTAGGAAGAGAAATAACGAAACGAAACGATTTTGCAAAATGCCCCTTGATGTGTGGCTTTATCTAGAGCCCCCCCCCCCCTATCAGAAAGTGACAAGGGTGACTGTGGAATGACACTGTAGAAAAAATGTAAATCCCACCCAGCCATGCCTTGACGGGCGCTCTTCTCAGCCTGGTCCTCTCTGTTTGTTTCTCTCATGGTCAAACTGAGATTGTCACTTGTTCATGAAGTCTTGTCCCGAATGCTTTGCTAATGATTTTCTTGATTCTGTATATGCCTGCTATATGGAGAATTTGGAGATGGAGATTTGATTGTGTTTTCTTTCTCTCTTATATTGTCATCACATCTGATTGTGTTTTCATGGAGGGGGTGGTTGGTGGGTGCTCTGGTGTGGTTTGCTCCTTCTTTCCTATCAAACGTCGTCTTTATCTCACCTCCTTGTTTTTGTGTTTGTTACTCTCTTGTAACACATAGTCTATTCTTTGGCACTTATATGACCTTATTGTGTTGCAAATGCTATAAAACTCTTACTAAAACTAAAACGGGGCCATACGATTTAACTCTATAACTCTATTGTAATTACGATGTAAAAATAACATGAGCGTTTATGTCTGTGGCATTAAATGACACCTGTCTCTGCCTGGACCAAAATTACCTGATAGCTCACTAGTGGGTGATTCGGCCCAGGTTGCCATGCACTTTTTTATATTGTCTTGAGACCTGACTGTGTTTTCTTTCTCTCTTATATTGTCATCACATGTGATTGTATTTTCATTCTCTCATATATCGTCATGTTTTCCTCTTCTTCTTTTGTATGTTTGTCACTCTCTTGTGACCCGCTATTTCCGGGGTGCCTTGATAGTCGAAGCAGACTTTGTGCCGTTGAAGCTAGAGAGGTGAACAGAGTAAGCATGAATTCCTGTAAGGACTTCTCTGTTGACATCCACCCCTTGGCACTCTTTTGGTCTTATGCAGTTGCGAGCGCCGAAAAACCTCTACTAAAACATATGTGTTTTCTCTCTCTATTCCAGAAACGGTGTCTCGATGGGTGAAGCTTTCAGCAGCGTGCGAGTGGGTGCGGGCTATGCCTACTTCCCTGCCGTCAGTCTGTCGTTTGCAGAACAAGTGCATGCAAATTTTGGCTCCTTGCCCTTACGATATCCTTTTTTTTGTCAAGGGCACAGGTTTACCTCGTAGGTGGTTGGCGGGTGCTCTGGTGTGGTTTGTTCCTTCTTTCCCATCAAACATCTATCGTCTTTATCTCTCTTTAAAGTTGTCTTTAGGCCATTCCCAAAGGGGAGACATTAATATGTTCTTATGCACAGTACAATTATAAATGGGCTGATTCACCAATGTCATGCTCATACTGTGCCTGAACTGCAACAGGGAATTGCTGCTTTTTCTTTCCTAATCCTTGTCATTTTTCCTCTACTTCTTTTGTATGTTTGTCACACTCTTGTGAACTGCTATTTCCGGGGTGCCTTGATAGTCGAAGCAGACTTTGTGCTGTTGAAGTTAGAGAGATGAGCAGAGTAAGTCTGATTCCCTGTATGGACTTCTGTGTTGACATCCACCCCTTGGCGCTCATATGACCTTATGCAGTTGCGAGCGCCGTAAAAACTCTACTAAAACTAAAACTATCTCTCGTCCTTTTCTTTGTACGTCACTCTCTTGTAACACCTCTTACCTTCTGCGCTTATTTGACCTTATTGTGTTTCAATGCTGTAAAAAAAGAAAGAAAAAAATTTACCACTATAAGCTTGCTTAATCGTTAGCAGATTTAGACGATAATTTGACTGGATATCTGTCTTGAGTTTGCCGGAAAACCGAAGCTATCGTTACACACGTATACTTATAGCTTGGGTAAAAAGAGATAATAGTGACAACTTCAATTGAAAAAAATGAAAACTTTGATTTTCTTGAAAAGCTTCCCCCGTAGCAAGTCCTCAGTTCTCTCTTAGTGGGTGGTTGGTAGGTGCTCTGGTGTGGTTTACTCCTTCTTTCCTATTAAACTTCTATCGTCCTTATCGCTCCTCCTCCTTTTTATGTGTATGTTACTCTCTTGTAACACCTCTAATCTTCGGCACTTATATGACCTTATTGTGTTGCAAGTACCGTAAAACTCTTACTAAAACTAAACAAGACTTTAACACTTTGCCGTCACATCTCGCCGATCAGCGATGTTTACCTCCCAGTTTCTTTGGAATTTCCCCAAAATGCCTTTGCCTTTGATGGCAACGGTTTTTTAATTTACTATTTGAGCCTTGTAACGAATGTGATGGTAAAGTGTTAAGTCAGAAAACTCCTTATGGGTGGTTGGCGGGTTCTCTGGTGTGGCTTGCTGTCAAAAATCTATCGTTTCTTTATCCCCTTCTTCTTTTTTGTGTTTGTTATTCTCTTGTAACACCTCTAATCTTCGGCACTTATGTGACCATATTGTGTTGCAAGTGCCGTAAAAGTCTTACTAAAACTAAGAAAAACTCCTTGACGTTGGCCACATACCCGATCGAGGGCTACCGGCCGCTGCAGTCCCCGTGCTCGGTGGAGGTGGCCCAGGCAGAGCTTCTCTTCACCTATCTACACAACCTTCTGCCCAAGATGTTGGAGGACGACCAGGTTAGCCTCGGGGGGGGGGGGGGGGGGGGGGGGGGCACTGTGTACCCTTCGGGTTTTTCTCACACACACAACTGGGAACACAATTTTTTCAGGAATATGCCCTGGATCGATAACAACAAAAACAACAAAGGAATTTGCCAGTTCGAAGTCTTTCGCGAAATGTTCAAAGGGGCGCGACTGTGTAAGAACTCATGGCGCTGAGGGACTCCGATCGCGAATTCAAATCAATGACAATGAGAATCTTTATTCATCTCCCAGGGAGAAATTTGTCTTGATCGTTTGCAATGGCAGTAAATGTTACAAAGGTTAGGTGTACTCTCGTACACACAACAAGACATGCCTGAAAATGGAAATGGGCAAAATGCAAAAGAAAAAAAGAGCTTGTAAAGAAAAAAAAAAACAGTGTTCAGTGCCCAATGTGCACTTCTGAAAGTCCCATCAAATGCCTCTGTAATATAGTTTGATACTTTTGAGGGTGGCCAGATTTTCCATCTTGGAGGGGCAAAATCTTTCGTTTTGGTACAATTTGATCTCATGCTCAAAAATGAATCGCGTGATTCTCCAAGTCACAGTTGGGTCCGTTGGTTGAATGTGTAGTCACAATCCAGTGAGAAGGCTACCATGTGTCTCATATTCCCTACTGGACTTCCAGGCCAAATTTGATACGATCAATTTGTGGAGTCCCTAAAATCGATTTTTTAAAAATTGACTTTTTAAAATAATATTTGTCCGTTCTGATGAGATTTGGATTTTAGAAAAATGTTTGAAAGCTGTCGTCTTTTCTGATAATATTCTTTCAGAAATGTGTGTGAATTATTCTCTGGTGTGGTTTGCTCCTTCTTTCCTATCCTACATCTATCGTCCTGATCTCTCCTTTTTTGTGTTGTTACTCTCTTGTAACACCTCTATTCTTCGGCACTTATATGACCTTATTGTGTTGCAAGTGCCGTAAAACGTTTACTAAAACTAAAACTAGAAGTATTCTCTTTTCAAGATGAAAGAAAATCTTGACACATGTTCCTATGACATGTGCAAAGACTTTCAGTTTGTTCAATAATGCTGGTATAATGTCTTTCGTTGCTACAATTCGTTCTAAAATCAAAGTGGTTTCTCTACAGTTCGAGAGGAGGCATGCTAGTGCGCAGAAGGGAGATTACCCACAAGTCCCGCTGACGGAGCAGCGGTCCCACCAGGCAACCTTGACCCTCATAGCATCTCACGTCTTCCAGCGCCTGGCTCCGCTATTGGTAAGTGCAGTCACTTTGTGACATCAGTGTGAGGTCTGTGACATCATATCAGTGCAGACTGGGGTCTCTCATGGCCAAGAGGTTAAGGTGTTCGCCTCTTATTCAAAGGTTGCGGGTTCGAATTCGGGTAGTGCCGAAAAAATTTTCTTCTTCTCTAAAATTGTCTCCTTTCACCTCCTTTCCTGCTCCTCTCTTGCAATGTTCTGTCATCTGCTTTCGTCTACACTTTCTGCCCCCACCCCTTCACCTCCTTTTCCCCCTCCTCTGGGCTCCTGATTCTGTCTGCAGCCTTTCTACTGCTACTCCTTGGCTCCTTCTACTGCTGTCTTTCTGCCACACCCCTGATCTTTTGGTAGGAAAGATCTACTCCAGCTTTCTCGGACAAGGGCGAAAAATCTGAGAGGTCCCATGTGCAAGTTGCGCACGTTGAAGATCCCACGGTCGTCTAAAATCGATAAGCAGAGCTGGTAGTAACAGAGTACAAGTACTCCGGTACTCGTACTTGCGTTACATTTTTCGGTACTTTTACTGTACTCCGGTACATTTTTTAAACCAGTACTTTTACTGTACTCCGATACTTTTTATAAAAGTACTTTTGAGTATTTTTAAAGTACATTTTGAGTACTTTGAAAGGGTAAGTGCAGGCATTTCTGATCATAATTGACGGAACAAAAACCCGATAAACCGCCAAGAGTTAAAAGTTGAGATCAAAGAACGGCCCGTCGCGTCAAAGATCAGCCACTATCGTGAATGTGATCACAAGCGTTGTAAAACTCCTTGAAACGGTACAGTATTTGCTCCAGACGGGATCACACCAAGGTGTGAACTGACCGATGCGTTTCTTTTCCCCAAACATCGCACTCGCATCTGACCTCACCACCTAAACTTACATCACTCCCTGGGTGGGTAGGGCCTACAAGTTTGCTCCAGGCGGGATTACATCAAACTGTGAACTCTTCCCTGACCGTTGAAAGCAGTTTTTCTCTATTCCCGAATTTGCGAGACAACCTGAATTTTAATTGGTGTGGTCACAACGTAATGGTGCGTAACGACAAAGGAGGTTGGGGGGGGGGGGGGGACTCAATCAGAGATGGAAAGCTAAAATTGTTGGACAGGTAAAGGGGAGGGGCAACTGGATAAACGTAGATAAAGATCTCAAGACTCACGATAGGCTAATGAGTGTGTATATATAATATTATTTATGGCATGCCTCATGCCACTGTGATTGGTTATCAAGGTTGACCACTCTTTGCTTGCCATATGTCATAAATCCACCCAGGGGTCACGTCAGTTCATGGGTCACTGTAGATTCTGCCTTGGCTTCGTTGGCTAAGATCCCATATTTTCCTTGCTTCCGAGCACTGGGATCTTAGGCGGAGACTACTGCAGTAGAGAATCTTTGGTTACACTACACTTACTAGACTCTAGGAAACTATTGTATTTTGGTTTGCCGTTGGCGCCGTGGACTACACAGTGTGACGAAAATCTGTCAGACCACTATAATCAATTGAAACTGAAACTGTGTTCTCAATGTGTATCTAACAATTTTTAGGCTGCCTAAATTTCTTTTAAACTTTTTTTTGGGTGGTTTTTGCTTAAGGCTACATTGATTCCTTGAGGATTTGTTAATGAAGAATTCAATGCACTTTACCATTTCTATGCGGGCCATTTTCATCAATTTTATGTTTTCTTAAGAGCAACTTTGTATCTACATTTTTCAATTTGGATACTCTTTCTGTAGAACTTTCCGACCTCTAGGACTGACTTACATTTGATCACATTGTCTTGCTCAAACAAGTTCTATTCATAATATCACTTACCCACTAGTTGCGTCTGTTCGTTTGGGTTGTTTTTTGTTCAACTTCACGGACCATTTCCACCGTTCAATGTGTACATTGTATATTCAAATACTTTGTATACTGTTTAAATTTTTAGTAATAAATAGCCTAATTTGTCAAATATACTGGATAAGTTATAAAATATGATGTTTTTCATAAGCGCTGAAGTGTTTTAGCATATTAGGCGAAAGTACTCAAAATGTACTCAAAAGTACTTTTTTAAAAGTACTTGTACTCAAGTACATTTTATAGGAAAGTACTTTTACTGTACTTAAGTACATTTTTTAGATTGTACTTAAATTTGTACCTAAGTACTTTTTAAAAAATACTTTAACAGCTCTGTCGATAAATAAGAGTAGGCTTCGGCTGCCACCCAGGCAAATTCAAAATTTCCTACCAACTGAAAATGTTTGGTGTGTCCCGCACGCTCGTATGACCTTATGCAGTTGCGAGCGCCATAAATAAGAAAAGGCTTATTGTACTTTAGAAATATGACTTTAAAAGAAAGTCTACAAATTTGACCCTAGTGTCGATTTTTGGCTAATACCTCCATTTGTGGATTGCGAGAAGTAACTCATTTTGTCCGCTCTCCTGACATTTGTTGTTTTTTCACTTACCATATTGACTTACTTGACTTCTCTTTTATCAATGCTGATTTGCGCTCATTTCCTCCTGTGTGTCAGAAAATCCCGTATGTGATAGAAATGTGCCTGGTGAAGTTCCTCCTGGGTCTGTGCGACCACCACGACTGGCGGGCCGAGCAGCTATACGTCAACAAACTCCTCGACCTCATCTGGATGCTGTTACAGGTCAGTCGCTGCACGCTATTCACGGACGCAAGCAGAAAAAAAAAGTTATTACTGGTGAAAAGAACAAACAAAAATGTTAAAATTACTGAGATGGTCTAAATGCACAAAGGATAAAGAGAATATGAAAGAAAATATGATACAATGAATTGAAAAATCCTTATCTTTTCTGTGTGCCTATGCCTTTATAATATGTGTCCCGCCGCGGTAGAATTAGGCGCTCATCAATTTTTGGGCTTGTGTTGTTATTATATCATCTTAAAGCTTGTTCATTTAACTATCTTTCGATGAAAAAATACACGTCTATGTGGAATAGAAGTGGGGGTCGCCTTGTTTCCGAAATAAAATTAACGAGAAAATGGCTGCCAAAGTTGGTTGATTTCCAAAGCTTGAGTGTCCTAAAACCTGAAAATTCACAATTTTTGTGCTTTTAATCAAAGTTTTTCATTAAAATCTTAAAAGTAATGTGTTTTACAAGAACATAGAGGATGTTAAGCCACATTACAGAAAATTGATAAAAATTACTGAACTGGCAGAAAATTGCTCTTTTATTTGATTTCCTTATTTTGACGAGCGCCTGATTTCACCACGATGCCTCACATATATTATTTTGTTTCCTGTTATGTTTTGATTTTATCATGTTTAGGTTTTTGCCTTCTGATGAAGGCTTATCTGGAACAAGATTTGTTTTAGCTCATTTCGTTCTTTTCTTTTTTCCAGGAGCCGGAAATCCGAGACTGCATGGAGCATCTGATGATCTCCCTTCTCAACGGCTACCGCTTTCACTCCTTTCATCCGGAGTTCAAATACCCGGTGAGTTGATGTGTTGTCTGGCTTGCTCCTCAGAGACTGCGTATCGTTGCCTGTGTGATAAGCCAGGCTCAGATAAGATAAGATAAGATACATCATTATTGTCCAGATCCTGGCACATTGGTTTGGTGTTTCACCACGTACACACATATACACACAGACACGCACACACACATACTCACTCACACATACACAAACACGCACACACACACACACACACACACACACACACTCACACACACTTTATCTGCTGCTTGCATTGCCTGCTTCCCAGGAAACTGAGACATGTTCTAGGATCTGCGAGTGTAATAATAGTCGCAAAGCTAATAGAGCACGCTGTGGAGCATAGCTATGTACTGTCTAAATGCTATGATTATTACAGTATAACCCGGACAGCTCGAATTCGTCAGGACCGGCCTCGGTAATTCGAGTGATCAGTTGTTCGAGGGATTTTTTACAAAGGCAAAGAAGAAAAGAAAAAAAAACCGAGACGGCAGGCACAGTTCGACGGATGCGTGATTTTGAGTCTTCCGTGTTCGACCTATCCGTGTTATACTGTATTATTTTCTACTACGATTTATTTACGTTCTCGTTCTTTCGTTTTCAGAAAATGTTTCTTGCCCTCACACTGGCGGTGCTGCGACACCAGAAGTCTCGGCGACATCTGCTGACCTACATCTTATATCCTTGACCTTAGCTTCACACCTCAAAGCCTCGACTTAGGTTTTGTTATGAGCTGTTAAGAGATATACTTTATTGATCCATGAGGGAAATTTTTGGTGGATATTTACCAGAACATCAACATACAAAGATTTAGCATCAACACAGAAATGCACTCGGTGCATTCATGTTCAATGATATACATACAGTGATGTACAGCAGTCACACACACATGCCGCGACCTCAGTGCTTTTTCGTCCTATCTCTATTTTTAATAACAGTGAAAACAGTTCATAACAATGAGTGAACTTGAGAAGAAGTCACATTTTCACTGGCTAAAAAAATGGAGATGCTACAAGAAAGCACTGAGGTCGCGATGCGTACCCGAACAGTTTGTCTTTAGACATGAAATCTCTCTCCGTCTTATTCGTTTTGGGAGAACACTGCTGATAGGTCAGATGGGTTTGTTTTGTTTTTTTAATTTTGCCTGTATATTTATTGATAGATAAATATATGGATAGGTGGATGGATGGATATTCAAAATCAAAGTTAAAGAGAGAGAGTCACAGGAGGGATGGGTAGGGGGAAGAAGGTTAGAGGATAAATGAGATCTTGCCGACAAACAGAATTGTTTTTAATGTCTGTTCAGAACCTATTACTACAACGCATGTGTCCTGTGTGCTTGTTGACCTTGACTTTGCCCACATTTGACCGCGTCAAGTTCCCCGTGTTCATGCATATCAAACCCCCGGACGACGCAAACATGGCTCGCCTCATCCCCAACGTTTGGTGGGACAAAAACCTCAAGGTGAGCTCTGCTGGAGACAGCTTTCTTTTTTTTAATCCCGTATCCAATTTTTGTGTGAGCCAGATGTCAGTTCAGTAAACTACATATGTGTTACGACACTGTGGCATCAGGCTTTCGTCATTTTTGGGGCATGTGGAGTTATTGGTATCATCTTTAAAGCCTGTTCATTTGCCTTGCTTTGGATGAAAAAAACATCCATCTATCTTGAGTAAAAGTTGAGTGAATGAATGAGGTGGGGTCACCTGGTTTCAGAGGTTAGACACTGTTGTGGTGGAAAATCACTTGAAATAAATCGTTATCACTTCCCTCCCTAACATTAAATAAAGGTGTGCGGAAATATTGAACTCCAGACTTGGTTATAAGAACAGTACTGTTCTGAGGGTGCGGTGGCGGAGCGGTTAGAGCGCTCGTCTCCGAAGCAGAAAGTCGGGGTTCGAGCCTCGGTTCAGACACAGATTTTTTCACCCCCTCCTGCCCAGCCAGCAGTAATGGGTACCTGACTTCAAGTTGGGGAAGTAAAGGCGGCGTGGAAAGGAACTGGCCACCCTACCCCAATATGCCGAAGGCCCAGGAAGTTGTCTCACTAACAAGGCAATCCCCAATATCCGGATCGGATGCGGGAACAACTTTACTTTACTTAATTGTTTTCTTAGCTTATATGTGTGTTTTTATTGATCAAGCATGTGGTGGGTGGGGGAAGGATGCCACTACCAGTCTGTCTTGCTGCCTGCTGCTATAAGACTGACATCTATCATAACTGAGCCATCCTGATCAGCCCCTGTGGGTGGTTGGCGGGTGCTCTGGTGTGGTTTGCTCCTTCTTACCTATCAAGCATCTATCGTCCTTATCTCTCCTCCTTCTTTTCTGTGTTTGTTACTCTCTTGAAACACACCTATTCTTCGGCACTTATATGACCTTATTGTGTTGCAAGGGCCGTAAAACTCTTACTGAAACTAACACTTTGTGTGTGCGTGCATGCGCACACGTGCGCCCATGCCTTGTACTACTTGAGAATGTGTTCCACGGTTTGGTACTATAATGTGTTATTTATTTGTTTGTCTGTCTGTTTGTTTCTCCCAGAAGGATGATGATGATGAGGATGAGGAAGACTCACCTCCTGAGGCCCAGCCGGAGACGCCGGAGGAAAAACTGAACAAAAAGAAGTACATGCTCTCCTGTGATAGGCTGAGTGAGAGGGTCGAAGGTTAGTCGCTGTGAAAGTGTATTTGCATATGTGAGGCAGCATGGTGAAATCAGGCGCTTGTCAAAATAATGAAATTGAAGAAACTCGCGACCTCAGTACTTTCTTGTCACATCTTCAAATTTTATCAATAGTGAAAATGTGACATCTTCTTAAGCTCACTCTTTGTTATGAACTGTTTTCACTGTTATTAAAAATGGAAATAGGACAAGAAAGCACCGGGGTCGCGAACTGGTGATGCTATGATGTGTCAAAAGATCACTCTGCTCAAAGTTTTTTTTAGCTAGGTATAAATCTGTAAGATAAAAAAGAAATTGCTTTTTTTTTCCCCAAAACAATGAGTGTGGCCTGATTTGGCGTATACTAGTGGTGGGCGGTACCGGCGAAATCCAGTCTCGGTACTTTCTCGGCACCAGGTGCTGAGAACCGCCAGCACCAGTACCGGTACTGGGAGTGACACCAGTAGGTGACGTCACAGACTTCGCACCTTGCGTCTAACGCCACGATCAGCGCCGCCCGCACCCCCCCCCCTCCCACCACACCAGTTAGAATTGGAGAGGCGAACTGTGACGCAAAATACCTTTGAAGTTTGCCGCCGCGTGGGATTAAACTTTGCAAGCAGAATTTTAAAAATAGTTATCGCCTCTAAAAATTGATTTCTTTTTTGGAATCAGCGTATCAAAATAAGCAAAGTGGCTTGCGCGGAACCTGATTTGAAGCCATATTATAAATTTAACCAAACTTCGTTTTTGATTGTCAATTTTGAATCTGAAGTCCTGTATCAAGGTCACCCGCTGCGTTGTGTGCATCTGACGTCACAGCAGCTAGACCTAGGCCTACACACTGCACACTTCCTGTGGCCCGGTAAGAAAAAAACAACCGTCGCGTCGGCTCCTTCTCAAAGCCGGTATAACCGCTGGTGTCGGCTCCTTCCGAGAGCCGGTACTGGAGGCCAGGTGTCGGTACTGACACCTCCTTCGGTAGAACCGGGAGTTCCGGTACTGGGTACCGGTACCTGCCCACCCTAGCGTATACACACTTAGAGGCGGACACGGTTGATATTATGTGCATGCTTTTATAGTTTTCTTATTGTAAGTAAGTATGGCAATGCGTATGAAACCCTGTCATTTATTTCCCCCTTGTTTATCCTCTCTACAGAACTGGAATCTATGCAAGTGGAGCTGTTGAAGTGTCTACTCATCAACAAAGACAGTATTGAAGTAAGCCGCTTTGCTATGGAACTGTTTGAAGTGTTGACATCATTTTCACAAGCACCTAAGTCATTTTGTGGAAGTTTTAAAAAATCAAAGGAAAAAAAAAAAAAAGCAGAAACATGGTTTGAGCATTCGCCATTTTTCAATTTAAAAAACTAGGAAGGAAACTATTTTTCTAATCATTTTTTTATTTTTAAAGATATTTTCTTCAAATTTTGCATGGATGCAGTTTAACATATTATACAATTCACTAAAACATTATATTTTAGCTACATGTTCATGTTACTTTTTTCTGTAGGTTTACTTACTCTGCCCCTAACATCTGTTGGGTCTTCTGAGTTTGGAGATACACTGGCGCTTTAAAAAAGTACATACATAAAATATTTTTGGTCAAGGAATTGAAGTTATATAGTGTAAAGCGCATAGAGCCTGCTGTTGAGCGGGGATATGCGCTATACAAATGCTATTTATTATTATATTATTTTATGCTTATTTCGTGACGATATGTAAGCGTGTGCATGTGATAAGCAAGTAGATGTGTGTGTGTGTGCGTGTATGTGTGTGTGTGTGTTTGGCATACATGTGTGTGCACATGTATGCGTGTAATGTGTTCGTGAGTGTGTATGTGTGTGTATGTGTATATATGTGTGTGTTTGTGTGTGTGTGTGTATGTGTGTGTATTGTGCGTGTGTGTAGCGTGCGTGAATGTTGTTTGTACATGCATTTATGTAAAGCGCCTAGAGCTGTGTTTACATGGGAGTGGGCGCTATAGAAATGATCTTCATTATTATTATTATTATTATATGTCCACAAGATAATTTATACACAAAAATGAACTTATTGTGTAAAAAAAAAATGATTAGAAAAATGCATCACCCACCATAAAACGCAAAAAATTCCAATATGAATGCCATTTCCGTGGCAAAGTAAAGATTTTCTCAAATTGTTAAGTTGTAATTTTTATCAGCATGACCCAAGGTATATAAGATTGCTTGTTTATTGCAATTTTTCTCGATATTAAAAAAAAATGGCCCCAAAAAGTAGCCTGCCCCCTTAACCAGTCCATTTTTGTACTGCTTTGTTTCTGTAAGAAGGATGTTTTATTTCTTGATCTACAGGGGAAGACGTCCAGAGATTGTTTCTTGGAAAAGCTGAAAATATTCCTGAAAGAAAACAGCGGATTTAGCCGGGTAAGTGTTTCAGGTCTCGTATGTTTATTTTTATATACTTGTCAAGTTTGTCGTTGATGTCGGACTCTATGTATGTGGGAAAATGGTAAAAATCACCCCCCCTCCCTCCCCCAGGGCAGTGCTACTGACTGAAATATCTTTAGGCCATTCCCAAAGGGGGATATTAACATGTTCTTATGTACAGTAGAATTGTGAATGGGCTGATTTATCAATGTCATGCTCATATTGTGCCGGAACAACATGGGGGAACTGCTGCTTTTTCTTTCCTAATCCTTACTATTGTCATTTTTCCTTTACTTCTTTTGTATCTTTATCACTCTCTTGTGAACTGCTATTTCCGGGGTGACTTGATAGAGGAAGCAGACTTTGTGCTCTTGAGGCTAGAGAGGTAAGCATGGTAAGCCTGATTCCCCATTTGGACTTCTCTGTTTACATCCACCCCTTGGCACTCATGTGACCTTATGTAGTTGCAAACGCTGTAAAAGCTTACTAAAAAAAATTTTTTTAAATTCTCCAGACCAATATGTGTTGCACGTACTGTAAAACTTTCCCTATAACAAGACGGTTTCTCTCTCCTCCCAGGCCCAGATGGCCCAGTCGTGTGCGCTGCCGGTCAGTCTGTGTTTCTTCCACCGCCTCGTCCAGGCCTTGAGGTTCTTCTGGGACGACTTCTGCTCCACAGACACCAACTTCCTGCCCAGCTCAGGTAGGAGACGCTTCGCTGGCTCAAACTTTTTTTGGGGGGGGGGGAGGGGGAGGATTGTCACATACGCTGGTTCAGACTTTTTTTTTAAACATACACTGGCTCAAACGTTTTTTGGGGTTTTTTTACATTTTTTTACATACGCTAGCTCAAACTATTTTTTTTCTTTCTAATTAATGTAGAAACTTTTACCTCACTCCAAACATAGACGAAATTGTTGTCCAGAAAAGATGCCAAACATCCAGCCCTGACAATAAGGCTAATTTGTTTACCTTGATTTGTTCTTGTTTTAACTTTTGTCTGTTTTAATTCATGTCATTGTTTAAAAGAAAGGTTTAGTTTTCAACTACTCATTGAGTGTTCATCCTGTCCCAACCCCAACCTTAAGGGGAATTATTAAAGTC